TATATATATATATATTATCCATATACTATATATATATATTCGAGGTTCAGGGTCGGTCAGGCAAACTTGAGTACTTGTATCTATCCATTCAATATATCTATTTCATATTTGTCTACAAATATATCCTGTATCTATCTATCTAACTGGCCTGATGTATCTACACCTAAATGTAATTACTACATAATTTAGGACCCTGGACTCGAATATATTGATGTTATATATTCTGCATATATTATGTACAGAAATTTATATATTGTATACGCACCACATAATATAGCTGCAATTAGAAAATTCAATTAATAAAATATAAGGAAAAATTTTACAGGGCAAATAGGGAAAATTAGATTGTTGTGATTTTTTCCCCGAAAATTGTTAAATTCTTAGATTTTATATCAATATAACTAAGTCGCACATTTTTAAGAACCCCCACCCACCCATAGATATGTACTTCCAGGTTTGCCTGTACATAACATTTTTTGTACTATCCTTATTCTCTTCCTACACGTTATCTTATGGCTAAAACCGGTTTTAAGCTTGAACCTTTCTCCTCGCAGCTTGTAATATATGGAGAGAAATCGTTGCATGGGGTTCAGATACTAGACACACTAGATACTAGATACTAGAGGTGGGGTCTTCATATTTTGACTGCAGAGTGAAATAACTCCAGAACCAAACATAAACATCATTTTAATTAAATTGTACCAAACCAAATATGAACGCTATAGAACGAACTAATTTTACCCAAACCAAACATGAACTCCTCCATCTTGACTAAATTAAACCAAACAAAACATACTCCTCCATTATGACTAAATTAAACCAAACCAAATATGAACTCCTCCATTTGTCGAAGACGAACAAAACCAAATATAAACGCCATTTTATCAAACTAAATCCAAAGCAAACATGAACTCTTACATTTTAACTAAACTGAACAAAACATTAACATCAGTTTACCTGAACCAAACCAAATAAAATATGATTACAGTTTAACTAAATCAAACCATACAATCCTATTTATTTAAAACTATGTTTGAATTTGATCAAACCAAACCAAAAAGTTGAAAGTTAGAATTCCAAAATTCCAATTGTTCAGAATCCCAAACTTATGAAAAGTTGGAGAAAAGGAAAATTCGGATAAAATTATAAACATATTGTAGACAACAATGCTAGCGGATAGACATTAGACATAGACATATAGACAGAAGTCGGATTAGAAAGATAGATAGATATAGATTGAGAATGTTCACATGCAGTTGTGAGAGAGCAGATGATAGGAAAGAATTTTTTTTAAAAAATCTACGAATAATTGAAGGAAAAAGTTAAACATGTTTGATTCCCCTCTCTCTATTCTCTCTATTCGAGGGGGTGTTTCCACTGTTGAATGTGGATATATTTATGTTTAAAATAATATTTATAAAAATCATATTGATGTCCCAGCAGCAAAAACCCTGTCTGAATATTTAAGCGTCCATGAGCACAAAACAATCTCTGTTTCTCTCCCAGAGTTATTCAAAATCTCAACGCTATTCAAAATTTTACTTTTAAACAAATTCGCTTTAAAGTTTCAATTAAAACATTTCCTCTCAATATGAAAGAAAATGAATCATAAATTCAAATATAAACTTATTCAATAAAATAGAAAGTTGTACAGCTGTATAGAGTATACAGTGTAAAGACTCGCGGATTTTCGTCAGAAAACTCGTAGATATTCGTTCAAAGTACATATAACAATTACATGATGCAACATTTGATCTATTGGCGAAGGAAACCATAGGTTTACGGTTCTGGTTGATATCTAGAGGGTTCAGGTTCGGATACAGGTTCTCCGGTAGGCCTGGACAGCCAGGTTATTCAACCTTACTCAGGGTTCAACACCCATACTAGAGTATCCATCCTAGATACCTTTACACAGGTCTCAGTAACAATCCTTTGCCCTAAATTGTTGCATAAAACATAGAATTTCAAGGTTCACGACTTAGGGAAAAATTTAGGGGGGGGGATATGTTTAGCTAAATATTTGTACTCTCGACGCAGCTGTTAAATCGGATAATTGTGAACACAGTTTTAGTTCTACAACGTTATTCTTATATTTCAAAACCATTTAAAATTTCAAAACCTATAGATTGATAATTTCGATGCATTGCATATTAATAATGATTTACTTTTAAATTTCACTTTTTAGGGTATAGTTTATTGTTTAGTTAGTTGGATAGCTGGATAATTAGATAGTTAGGTAGTTAGGTAGTTAAGGTAGTTAGGTAGTTAGATAGTTAAGTAGTTAGATAGTTAGATAGTTAGATAGTTAGATAGTTAGATAGTTAGATAGTTAGATAGTAGGAAGGTAGATCAGAATAAGTATAGATTGAAGATAGAAGTATAAAAAGAAATGGAAGAGGGAAAAAAGACCCCCCCCCCCCGGACATATTCCTGTATACGCCCCTAAAAGAAACCTTGATAGACATTGTAAACTCTCTTCTCCCATCCCCCTCAGCTGTATACAGCTATAAAGATGTAAAGTTTAATTTTTTACTTTAATTCTAATTCCTCGGCTGCCTATTGTTCAATGATAAAGTTCGTTGGTAGATATAGGACAGGGAGGGACTAGGTGCACCTGACAATTATTTGGTTCAAAAACTTGAATTGTTATTCTTTATCTTACCTAGATTAAGCCCAAAAACATTGAGAAGGTATTTTTCGGTATTTTTTAGATGCTGACTTGGGTTAGATAAAATATGAATACACAAATAACCGAGATAAATTTTCAGAACTTTTTAGATGGAATAATAGGTAGATAGATAGATGGTCCTATAGATAGATAGATAAAAAATATGCAGATAGATAGTTAGGTATAGTATAAATAGATAGATAGATAGAGTTAGGTATAGAAAGATTGGTAAATAGATATGTAGACAAATATTAAAGATAGATATAAAGATATATATCCATAACGATATAAGTTGGTAGGTATGTAGTTAGTTAGGTAGTATATTTGCTGAATTATAATAGGCAGTTAGATAGATAGATAGATAGATAGATAGATGGATAGATAGATAGATAAGGTTTGAAAGGTTAGATTAGAAAGTGCAGAGGATTCACTCAAATGCCAAACTCATGTTTCGACATATTTAAAAATTCTAAACATCCCAAACCTTCATATTTTATCAATATTTTTATAATAACATTATCCGTAATCTTTTGCTTTATTCTGCTACCACATTATTCTAGTAAATTCAGTAGATTTAAGTAAATGCGGGAGAACATGAGAAAATGTTCGAATTTGATATGAAAAGTTGAAGCAAGATTTCGGCTTGAAATATATAGGCCTGTAGCCGAGCAGTGTACATAGTCTCTATCCTGTCAATAACCGTAGTAGGGCATTGCCTTCCCTCGGTCTGACCTCCACTAATATTCCTGAATCTAGAATCTACAGAATGCTCCCCCGCAGGGGTGAGTACCCGCAACCCTACAGCTGGGAATAAACCGGTCTTATTACTGTATTAACGGAGTTCAGATTCTTGGGGGTATTTATTTATGTATACATTATATAGATAATAGATAAAATTTTTATTTAAAATCTACATTGCATCATTGTGTTTTTTATTCATTGGATGACACCCCCCCCCCCTCTTAACCCTCCTTATTCTTACACCAACCCCTCTTTCTGTTGTATTAAATATATGATTTAATGGATTAAGACTTGAAATTCACCAAATAACAATTATATATGAAACATGGTCAAACTGAAATTGTTTGTGTAAACAGACATTTTTAGATAACTAAATATTATTAGACCTTAGTTATTTTGTTGATACGAATATATTGAACAAGTTTTTAAGCTCGACAAGTGTTAAAACGTCTACTAAATTACCTTAACTTTTTGTTACAGTAATTTATACAAACGAACTGTTACGTAGATTTCATTTCTTAAATACTAGTTAATTTTCACTGTTATAAAGTTTCATATCTTTTGTGTTTTAACTAAACAAATTGAATATGGCTTCTATCTTGAAAACATGACAAAGAGAAAATATAAAACTAGAACAAAGAAATCAAAGCACAGTAAAGTAATATTGGCCGGAAAATAAAGTATACTCTATTTCCAAAAGTATGAAGTTTTGCAAAAAAGTATTGAATTTAAAAGTTTTATCTTTGTCTTCTTATTTCTGTAGGTTTCGTTTCTTGATTATTATTTCCTACCTAATTCATGATTTTATTTTTCATACTCCGAGTACATTTTGATTTTGTATTTTGTGTTTTATACAATAAATATTTACTCTCTGCTATATATATACAATTTGTACTGTTCCGAATTGATATGAATAATGAAGAAGCAGTGCATTGTGTTGTATTGTATACATATGTATTGTATATGGTATACAGATATACACTAGAAACTTATTGTAAAATAACATTTTTCTTTTTTATAATGCTTACTTGTCATGAATGATTGTTAGGTTTAATCTTGTTTTTTAAAAGTTTCGGCAACGCTATGGGTGCGGTGTTCAGTAGATTTATATAAATACATCACGGGATTTCAAGCTCTTTAAACCATTCAAAATATGAAGTATTCGTTTTGGCAGTAGCACAATAGGCTTAATTGTTGCAACAAGATGTCTGAGAATATATTTTTTCTTTCTTGTAAACGCATTTTATAATTGAAGTCATTTTTTACTTAATTTCTCAAAGGTTTTATTAAAATTTTTATATTAACATTTTTCTTTCTTTTCTAATGAATATAAAATATTTATTGCTTCTAGTGCATTATTTTCCAATGAATTGAATAATATAATAATGTGCCGAACCACGTGAATACGAATAAACTTAACAAATAAATAATTGCATAAATGAATAAATGAATAAAAACGAACCCAATTTGAAAATTCTTGTTTGTTTTATTTTGTTACCCACTTTAAGAAGCCTTCAACAATCCGATATGCCTAACCATTTGAGAAAGGGGAGAGGGGGGGGGGTTGAAAGGTTATTTACCTGGTTTAGGGGGAGGGGGGGTTAATTTCCCAGCATGAAGGGTTAACTGACCCCAGCAAGGGTTAGATGACCCTAAAACCAAACCTAGTTATATAATTTATTCCATCCTGAACATTCGACTCAATTTTTCTGATTTAGAATTATTTTTTAATAATTAGAAATTTTATGAACACCCTTGTTGGTTGTTGTTGGTGTTGATATTTATCAAATTCTACATTTTCTTATTGGATGTATTTATCAAATAAATGGTCCTTTCTTATGCCTGAAAGAGCTAAACAGGTTGCTAAAGAATAGAAGAATTGTTAATTTATCAAAGATTGTATCTTGGTCTTCTACCAAATCTACTCTCTACTTTGAACACAAGTTTAGGCAACAAGCTCTGTTGTTCTTTAAATGATGAACAAAGTTATAAATTTAAAAATATAAAGAGATTATTTTGATGGTTAGAAACCGGTTTGAAGACTAAGGTGTGAGGTATGAGTATTCAGATCTGAATTGAAAGTTGGGATTTATTTGAAACCCTAGATATTTGATCCATCAGAAATATTCAAGTAGAGAGAAATTGTAATTCAGATTTTTAAATTTTTATTTCTTTTTAGGTGAATGACTTCCTTTCCGGTTCAGCACCTTTGAATTTGACAATGAGGCTTGGTGATCATATGATGTTAATTCAGCTCCAGCTCTCAACGGTAAATCAAGTTTCATCATCGAGACGTAAATCCTCATCCATTCAGATATCCTCTTCTAGTCCTCAATCATCCTCGTCGTCTAGAAGCTCATCTTCACACTCATCCTCCTCTTCTACACACTCCGCCTCATCCTCTCAAACAGCCTCCTCCCACTCTTCCTCCTCCTCCTCCCCTTATTCTATCTTCTCCTCCTCTTCGAGTAAATCCACCAGTACACCGTCTTACACTCCCTCCGCTACACACACACACGCCGCCAATCACACTCCCTCCACAACACACACATCCTCTGCTCCACGCACACCCTCCGCCTCACACACACCATCCTCCCAGAAGGTCCGTATACCTCTTCTCAGTCCCGGAGGCCTTTACTACAGCCCTGAATCCCTCCCTTCATCCTCCTCCGCCATGGGACCTCCGCCACCCAGACAATCCTCCCGGTCTGCGGCAGCTCCCAGCTACGAGCCTCCATCCAAGAAACCAAAGCTTGATACTCGAGCACTGGCGGAGGCGAGTAAGAATCTAACCCAGACCTTGAAACAACTCTCCTCCGAAGTAATGACGACAAAACCGGAGCATAGACCTACTCCCGTCCCACCAACTAAACCAAAGAAAGAGGTAGGTCCAGCAATAAAAAGTAGTTTTCATCAATCTTAACCTTTATGTACTCCGTAATGCATTATCAAACGGGTTTAAAAAGTTGGGATGTCTGGCTAAATTATAACTAGTTATTTAACTTTACAGTTTTTGTATGTTCAAATTCTATCCTTTATTTCTTAATTATTGATTCTTTTCGGTTTTGGTATTTTGTTTAGTTTTATAAGATAAATATTCTTTATCATTCTTTCAAGTTATCTCTTGTAATAACTGAAAATAATAATTAAAAATAATGACTTTACGTAAAGATAAATAGTAAATGATTGAGAAAGGGCTTCATGCATGTCGACTCTTATTATGTCTTAATACATAATAGGAATAAATAAAATAATAAAAATTAATAATAATAACCAATTTATTTATTTATGAATGTTTTCCAGGAAAAGAGTAGCAGGAAGAGACGAGCAGGAACAGATAGCAGAGGCGCGATTATAGAATCGATGCATCATCACGGGAAAGGAGTCTATTCTGGAACATTCTCAGGAACCCTTAACCCTGCGCTTCAGGACGCGAACGGTCAACCCAAGCGCGACATTACAACCATTGTGCACATTCTTAATGATTTACTGTGCGCGCAATACAAGGCTTACAGCTCTGGTAGCAGATCTAGTAGACATAGAGAGAAAACCTCTACACAGACTTCTGATCCTAAACAACCGTTTGGTAAGATTTTAGTTTTAAAATTTGATTGCTTAACGTTATAAAATGATAAGAATTTGAACTATTACAGAGATAATTATTAATTTATGACAAGAGCCTCATTTGTCATCTAATTGCTCTTAGAAAAGAAGAGAAACCCGTTCCATCCTAAATTACAAATCAATAGTTTTATTTTTTAATACATAAAAGTTATACTTAAAATTTCTCAGAATGAAATATTTTGTTTTTAGACTCTACCCCCGACCCCAGTGAGCGCGAAGTGCTGGAGCAGCAGTTAAATATTACACGTAGTAAAATGGAAACTCTCAAGAAGATTATGGAAGAGCGGAGAGCTAAACGTGAGGCTCGGAAGCAGGCTCAGGCCCGCCCCTACAGCACTGCATGGTCCGTCAAGTCTGAAAGTAAACCTGTCGACGGAGAGGAATCAGAGAATTTTATCTCCGTTGAACCTGAACCAGTAACAGTGCTCTAGGAGGCGTAACACGTGATTGCTCCGAGACCCGGAAAGAATCTTCCTGCTCCGGGATTAGTTGGTAAACTCTAAAATCTGGAGACAGGAGCCAAAACCTAAATGTTATCCGCCTTTGTGACTAAATACAAGCTTGAGTTAAATCTTATTTATAAGACTTATGGTTCAAAGTAGGATTAAAGATACTCCAGTGTTAGATGCGTTAACCTTCTAAAGCTAGTTTCATCCAGCATGCAAAGGTTTTCTATGCAGTATGGAGTGCATTGAACCATGTGCTGCGGTCTTAGAATTCAACTCAGAGATTCTGAGACTAAAATGTTTTACAGCAAGGTTTCGAACCAGACTTGGGAGCAACGAACTCAGTGCTTTGGGATTTAAGTCATCGTAAACCCGAAGCAAAGTTCTTTGCTTTGCCTTGTGTTTTAAATACTTACTGGAGCATAAATCTACATCGGAACATTAGCCTCTCTTGCTTCGAAGCATCGGGTCTTAGAAGCATTGAACCCCACCGCTAGAAATCCTCTAGAATATTACAGACTGATAAAAATCCTTAAACTAGACTTGGAAAGTTAATGATAATTCTGAGTTTGTTTAAACCCCAGCTAGCCTGTTACCTACCTAAAATACTGTTAAGTTATATAAAATCTAGGTTAAAATATAGGTCTGTGATAGCTGAGTTAAACACTCTGCTTGTATTGCCCCCCGCAATACTTAAATTCATACAGTTCTTTGAGAAGCACGGCCACCAAAGCGGCCGGTTGGCCTTTGTCGGAACATTTTCGTCCATGATCGACGATTTTTTATGCTTTGACTGCTGCTACAGGCTTCTTCTTGTTTGTCTAAAGACTGAACTTGAGACATTATCTCTGAATGTTTATTAGTGAATATTATCATAATGTATGTTAATTATCGTCTAAGTTCTTGATCATGGTTCCGACAGAAATCCTTCAGCCTAATTTAAAATAACTGAACTAACCATTCAACAATTTCTTTCCTCACAAAATGAAATTAAAATAAATAATATTCCATAACTAATACCATAAAACTTATTAGTAAATGGAGCGACTCAAGACACTTTTTTGTTTGTTCCATGTATATCTAGAGCAGTTTTTATCATGTTTACCAAAACGTCCAGGATACACACTTTTTACTCTCTCAGCTGAATAGTGACCGCTTATCAATATTTCAAGCGTACTTTCATAAACAAAAATTTGAACATAAAACTATTCCTTTAGACTTGCTGATTCTTATCTTCAAGTTTTGTCGGATATTTATGCTTAAAAGCTTGTGATAATATACCGTCTTTCAGTAGCTTTATTAAAACCTGTACAGACTTAGTACATGGTTAGGCGGGTCCAAACTGCATAGTAAATTGTTACAGATGTACTTAAATTGTACAAATATTTTGTAACAGATTCTACAGAACCGACTTTTCATGGAAGACGCTTGAGAGAAAATCCGCGACTATGTTTGAATCTCCAATTTTCAATGCAATCCAACATTAATCCTATTATTATACAAGTATGGAGCATTTTCCGTCGGAACCGACTCATCTGTCAGATATTTTTGTTCTCTCGTAACACTTTATAAGTGTTTTATTTGTTCGCTGTCGTAGAATTATAAATTCTGTAATCAAACAGCGTAGTGTTGTATCAAAATTTATACCGAGTGAGTCGTTTATAAGGGACCAACCGGGGGGACTGTTGGGAGAATTTCAGCTGAAATCTTGAATTGTCGTCTTAACATTCATTCTGCTAAGTGAATCAAATCACTTAGAAGGTCTTAAATCAGCTGTTTTTGTTCGGCAGCCCACCTGTGTTTAGCTTTGTATGTGGGCACTGCATATTTTAACATTTTCATGCAGTTGCTTGCCAATGTTTGGGATGTTGTAAGGTAGTAATGTTCAGGCTGAATTTAGACTGCCTTTAGTATATATATATCTATGTATATTTGTAAATATATATACACGTATATATCCTATCATTTAATTTGTATTATCAACATGTAATTAGATCAAATATAAATAGAAAAAAATATTTAGTTTTTTCTCTAACCTATTTATTGTTGCTGTTTTTCTATATTTATTGGGCTTTGTTCTTAAGTTTAAAATTTATTCAAAGTATAGGTTATCGGTGAAGAAAACATGCGAATAGAATACAATATTACAATAGGAGGACCGCGCTTAACGGTTGATTTTGCAGATTGGCTTTGAAGATTAAAACTTTACAACGGTACCCTTGAAACCCAAATCTGATCAAAAATGTGGAAGAAAACGTTGTTTTTTCAGACTCGAAGAAGATTATTTTATGGAGAGCGTGCATTTCGGTTCACTGTGAGTATGAAAAATTAACGTGAGTTTTTGTCACTAACTCAAATGTTCTACTCTCTGTGAGTCTGTGCCTTTGCAACCTGATGTGTAAATCTTTAATATTTTAAACTTAAATTATTTGAAATAACAGAATTCATAGTTAAAAATATCTTCGACACGACATTGTGATGCAATTTAATAGGGATTTGGAAAATTAGAGTTTGTGGCAAAGACTCAATTCCTTTCGGTAACGCTTTGAAGCCCTACCAAGTTTCAGCTTTCTACAATAGCTCTTTAAACCAAGGACAAAAGACTCGGCGACACTTTAAAGTAGGCCCGATCTGAAAAATAATGTGTAAGTGGCATCACTGTCCGAAGGCCCCCTGAACACACGAATATCATTATGAGTATAAAGAAACGAGTTTTCTTTCTTGTTCCATTTCCTTCCCTTGAGCCCGACCTCGGGAAAATGTTTTTATTTAAACAGTCCGTGGCCTTTCTCCTTGTCCTGACCTCATTTTTTTTGTGCTTTTTGTAAATAAATTTCAGCTTAGTAACAAGCCACCTTTATTGCAGGCATTCATTTGAAGTAGTTTTAATTCGTAAATAAACCTGAATTTGGGTCAAATCGACCATAAACAAATTATGTTTTTATTTTGAACAATTTTGTTGATTAAAATTTAAAAAAATATTCACAAAATTCTGCCAAAACCTTTAGCAAATGTAAGGGAAAGATTATGTAATTTTACAGACGGGTATCACAGGTTTCTGACAATTAAAAATAAAGCCAGTAAATGTTTTTTACTTCCTCTGTAAGCTGATTTTTAAAACAAAGAAACAAAATTCCTATAGAAAATTCTTTGTTTAGTTAATACTCAGACTTTCTGCACATCCAAATTCCAAGCATTTATTACGTAAATTTCTTTGCGGATTTTAAGAAAATTAGAATGTGAAATTCAGTTATATACTTTTTGTTTGTCATTATATTGTATTTCTATTATCATAAAACAGCTGTTATGTCAATTTAAATTGATATCAAACGGACAATTGGAAAAATTATATAAAATGCAAAACATAATTCTGAATTATTGACAAATGTTGACAAATCAATGAGAAATGAGCCAGTTTTCAATAAAATTAAATATTAAATTTAACATGATTCATGAAAAAAATTATTGAAAATTTTGCAACAGAATTCAAATTTTCCAGCTTCCCGGTTTCTCTATCTACAGATGTACTTAAATTGTACAAATAAATTAAAAAGAATTAATGTCACATTCTTCATCATTTATTTTATACTGCAGACATTTCAAAATTAAATTGAGCTACGTCGCTAAACAACCTATTTCCGGTTCAAATTTGAACCACCGATTCAAAGTTAAGGATTCAGGAAGGATATGAATCGGTGATTTATATTTGAACCTGCGATAGGCAATTCAGCAAATTCAATAAATAATAAATAAAGACCTTTTATTACTTTCTTTTTCTTACAGTTAATGTTCCTTGGAACTGCAAAGTTGATTCTTTCTTTAGAAAATTATCTAGTAATAATTCAAAGTCTCATGTCATAGAAATGGAAATAGGACGCAAAATTTAAATCTTTTATGTTTTCAATAATAACTCCTAAAATTGAAGAGTTGTTAAAAAGAATAAAACTGTTTTGAAATTTTAACATGACAAAGTAAATTTGGTTTTCTCATTCTTGTGCATAAAATCAAAACTAGAAGCGCTACGAGGTCACAAAGTTGTTCCAGTGATGTCACATAAATTATATTTTATCCTATTGCAATGTATACTGTAAATATTGTCTGTCACACTGAACAGTAAATACGAAAAGGCAATATATTTTAGCCCATGCGGAGAAATAAGTGTTATACAATTCTCACAGAGTTTTCGATGGGTAGATCTGATGCATGAGCATTAGGATTTCTGCAGTGTGGCACTATCTGTGTCATTTCTGGGGTTGTATTTATGTATTCATATTAAATCTGTAAACTGGAAAATTAAGTAATTAAAATAGAAATTACAATGTTCTTGTAACTTTGTAATTATTTATGGGACCAAGTGCACCAACAAAACACTTTTGATGACATCAATACCATTTTTTAAAATCCACTCCAAATTATGAAATCTGACCTTTTAGTTAGAACAAGATTGTTAGGAGTTATTACAAGATTGGTTGGAGTTAGAACAAGATTGTTTGGAGTTATGACAAGATTGGAATTATGACAAGATGGTTTTGAGTTATGACAAGATTGTTTGGAGTTAGGACAAGATTGAAATTATCACTTTTGCATTGCGGCTTGGTTGGCGGTTATATGTTATTAATGGACCCTTGCATGGGTCCAGTGCCAAGGGGCACTGGACCCATGCATTAAGGGGGTCCAGTGCCCCTTTTCGGTGGCACTTTTATTTATTATTATAGAAAATTTATCCTTTTATTTTTAATTTCTAATTATGCGAATTCTTTGCACAACCGGATTTTAATTTTGTTTGTACAGGTGATCTGCTCCAGCCACTTCAGAGTTCCATCAGTCCGGACCTTTTGAAGAAAAAGAAAATATGGTCTGTCATCGGCTTATAATTATTAAAATTTAAACTTAAACTGGCTTTATTTTATCTTTAGTAATGTTTCGGTCTATTTGAAATACTCCAACTGGTTGTACTTTTATTATTAACAATTTTTAAATCCAATTGATTACTAAGAAGAACCTAGGATGATCATTTTAGGAAAGAATTTTGAGGAGCAAGTTTTTTGTGAATATGACTGCTTTAATGGGGACTTCTTATTACACCAGTTGTGAGTCTTAAAGAGCCAGGAGCTGCTGACCATAGCAGTAATGAATGGGATGTGGGGTTCAATCTGGTCCTGTCCACATTTAGGACTTTGTCCTAGGAACTAATTACTTTAGTAATGGTTTTAACAATGAGCTATTATAAAAAAGATGGTTTGAAGTTAGAGCAAGATTGTTTGGAGTTTTGACAAGACTGTTAGGAGTTATGACAAGATTGTTTGAAGTTATGACAAGATTGTTTGGAGTTAGGACAAGATTGTTTGGAGTTATGACAAGACTGTTTTGAGTTATGACAAGATTGTTTGGAGTTAGAACAAGATTGGAGTTATGACAAGATTGTTTGAAGTTTGAACAAGATTGTTTGGAGTTAGGACAAGATTGCTTGGAGTTAGAACAAGATTGTTTGGAGTTATGAAAAGATTGTTTAGAGTTAGAACAAGATTGGAGTTATGACAAGATGGTTTGGAGTTAAGACAAGATTGTTTGAAGTTAGAACACGAATGTTTGGAGTTAGGACAAGGTTGTTTGGAGTAAAAACAAGAATGTTTGGAGTTAGAACAAGATTGTTTGGAGTTAGAACAAAATTGTTTGGAGTTAGAAAAAAATTGTTTGGAGTTAGAACAAGATTGTTTGGAGTTATGACAAGATTGTTTGGGGTTAGAATAAGATTGGAGTTATGACAAGATGGTTTGGAGTTAAGACAAGATGGTTTGGAGTTAAGACAAGAATGTTTGGAGTTGACAAGATTGTTTGGAGTTAGAACAAGATTGTTAGGAGTTATGACAAGATTGGTTGGAGTTAGAACAAGATTGTTTGGAGTTATGACAAGATTTTTGGAGTTATGACAGGATTGGAATTATGACAAGATGGTTTAGAGTTATAACAAGATTGTTTGGAGTTAGGACAAGATTGGAACTATAAAAAAGATGGTTTGGAGTTAGAGCAAGATTGTTTGAAGTTATGACAAGATTGTTTGGAGTTAGGACAAGATTGTTTGGAGTTATGACAAGACTGTTTTGAGTTATGACAAGATTGTTTGGAGTTATGACAAGATTGGTTGGATTTAGAACAAGATTGATTGGAGTTATGACAAGATTGGAATTATGACAAGATGGTTTGGAGTTAGAGCAAGATTGTTTGGAGTTATGACAAGACTGTTTGGAGTTATGACAAGATTGTTTGGAGTTATGACAAGATTGTTTGGAGTTATGACAAGATTTTTGGAGTTATGACAAGATTTTTTGGAGTTATGACAAGATTGTTTTGAGTTAGGACAAGATTGTTTTGAGTTATGACAAGACTGATTGGAGTTATGGCAAGATTGTTTGGAGTTAGAACAAGATTGAAGTTATGACAAGATGGTTTGGAGCCACAGCTTGATGGAGATATAGGAAGGATTGTTTGGAGTTAGGAAAGATATTTTGGAACTCAAAACAACCAACCCTGGTTAGGCGGGTCCAAACTGCATAGTAAATTGTGATTGCTTATTTGTAATATCTCATGCTTTGTAGTTGAATAAAAATATGAAAAAAAATATGAAATAGGAATTAGAAAAAGCCATTTTGGAGCTAGAGAAATGTTGGTCGTAATTTTGACGGGATTGTGAGGCGTTTTAAGAAGTTTAAGATATTTGACTTGTGGTTGGCCAGGACAGAGTTGTTTGGAATTTAAAACAAGGTAGTTTGGAATTAGATTGAGTATGGACTTGAGTTTGAATGAATTCTGTGTTTCATTAAGAATTAGAAATGTGTGTCAAGTGTGCTGCTTAACTTGAATATTCTAATCTATAAAGACTGCCTGACGAGCGGGGAAGGCAGGCGGCTATTAGCCACACCATTTTCCCCTTCCATGCCACGTATTAAATTGTTTGTCTTCCGCAGCCATAAGCCACGACCGTTCGGTCTTCCATGCCATAACATTTCCAATGATGTAAACTCTTCTATATAAAATGTAAGACAGTTTATCAACTGAACACACAATTCATGATCTTTGATTAACTTCTAAAATTTCTTAAAGGCTGCATCTTCCGCGTAATGCGGCTGGATTTTTGAAAATCGCAAATTCAATGCACTAAATTTATCATTTGAAAACGTAAAAATTGCCGGTAAACTCAAATGGCATGGCATGGAAGACCGCACGGTTGTGGCTTATGACTGACGGAAGACAAACAATTTAATATGTGGCATGGAAGGTAAACACGTTGTGGCTTATGCCCGCCTACCTTCCCTCCCTCGTCTGACTTGCCGAATCCAAGCATCTTTCTAAGCATCTGATGCAAATATTTATTTAGTTTAGAATTTGTCTGGTATGACGTAAACGTACTTTTACATCATTTCCAACTAAACGTCGTGATAACAAGTTAAATCAACTCTAGGTTTAGGATCAAAGTCTTTACCCCCCCCCCCTGTCTTAGTTTGGGCTACAGTTCTTTTTTAAGGGGGTGTGGGGCGATATTTGGAAACATATAAGGAAATGCTTGTTAAAAATCAAAAAGAAATCACGTAAATCTATCAGTTTTCCCAAAACTTGTATGAATAGTCAGTGTATCCCTGTTCTGAAGAATTGGGATCAAACAACTTTTAGTGAACCTTATTTTTCAATAGGATTTCGCATAGCTATTTTTTTACATCAATGTTAGTTGCTGTCAATTATAAACCAGTGAAGTAACCGAGCCACGTTCTGTCAATATTCCAGAAAGCTGTGACTTTCCATCACAGATTGACCCTTTAAACATAATTTTTTGTCGGTATATACATTATATGCATGTTATCACATGTTATCGACGTTTAACACTTTTTTCTCCTTTTTGCAAACCCGTTTTTTTCACCTCAATAATTTTCTTTATTTTCTTTTTTCTTTCTTTTTCATTTCTCCAGGTGCCTGTTTAGATGCGGGCCTGATTTTATTATATAAAATATGATATGTCTGAAGTTTTATTGTTACGGCCATTTTATAGTGCGTGAATAAAGTAATGCATCCTCCGACTTAATTTTATCTCTTTTCAAAACCTTTTTAAAAACAAATATAACTTTACTGTTAGTGACTTAATCTAAAAGACGACCCATTCATTCCTTTTCTGAACTCTATCACCCTGGTCTCCTGTATCAACCCTTTCATAAACCCTAACTTCCTGGTACCCCTAAACCAATCCTGACCCTACCCCCTGGTCCTCTGAACCAACTCTGAACTTAAACCCCTGACTCCATTGAACCAACCTTGAACCCTACCCCCTGGTCCCTCTGAACCAGAACCCCACCCCCTGGTCCTACTGAACAATACCCTATTGCCCCTTGAGTCCCTGCCCCTTGCTCTGCTCAGAAACCCGTCCGACCCCACGGACTTAAACCCCTGCTGGGAACTGGTTAAACAAAACAATATTTTCAAATTGAAATGCAACACAGATATCCTTTTTAAATATATCCCCAGGACAGGGGGAGGGACAGGAGGGGAGGGGTAGGGACAGGAGGGGAGGAATGAATAAGAGGGGTGGGGACTGCAGAGCTAGGGGATAAATACATTAGCCCAACCGTCAGGCACTTTTTGCCCAGTTCTCTTCTGGGTCTGTAGGAGGTATACAAGGGGGGAACCTTTTGTTGCTTTTTTCACATCTAGTCAACGGTTCAAGTCAAGCAGGGAGGGTTGGAGGACTGAGAGGGGAGGGGATGGGGGGGAAATGTACGTGGGATAAAATGGAAGTAGATAATAGATATTAAAAAATAAAGAAAGAGTAAATATTAGAAAAATGAACAAATTATAAAGTTTCTTCAACGATGTCATGAATGGGTGTTCAAAATTACCGCAGACAATTGTAAACTGAACTAACTCTAATTGCAGGTTTAGAACTGATTGCAAACTTAAACTCCAATATTCTTGGTTTAGGTTTAAGTTACTGTTCACAAAATCCGGATAAAAACGAGGGTTTTCTCTTATGTTTGTTACTCCTTTCTTGGGGAAAAGATATAATGTTTTGCACAGTCATAAAAGTAAAACACTTGAAATAAACATTTTCTATTTCTGTTTTTAGGTTTACTTTTCTCGGGAATAATTTTTATTTTTTACAACCTTTTGAATTTTGAATTTTAGTAACTTTTGAAATCAATTAATTTCTACCTTAAAGGGAGTGTTAGCGCAATTTCAAGTGATACTCCGTGCAAAGATGGCAATGTCCGATTTTCAAGAGTACACTTTAAAAGTTATGTCTGATTTATAAATCAAGTATGAATTATATATCAATGTTTTAGTTTCGTTAAACTGTATATTTTCATTTGTGGCTCTGTGACAGCGCATTTATTGTTAACAAGAACCAATAAAGAAACTCACAAAAATAATCATTTTTCGAGTCAGAAAAACGACGGTATCTCCCACATTTTTGACGAAGAGGTTTCAAGGGAACCATTGTAAATCGTAAATTGCCATCTTTGCATGGAGGGTCAATTGAAAACACAATTACAATCCCTTTAAAATTAATGTGCATTCTCCTTCCTCCCGAAAACAAAATAATCTCACAAAAAGGAGATGATTAATTTGGTGTACTGTCCCTTTATTCGATAATACTCTGTATGTAAACTGTACAACTTGCCCAACTGTACAATATATCAAAGTTTACATGAGCCCGAAACTTAAGAGGTATCGTCATAAAACCCAGTATTGAAAACCCGGTTTCATGGTTAGGCAGTTTTGTACATATCATTATTTCTGTTCAGAAATTTTTATTCTATTTGGTTCTTTTTGAGTTTCCTAGTTTCTTAAATAAAAATCTACACAAATTTGTATGTTTTCTAGTTTCTTAAATAAGAAACGAAACTCAACA